TTTTTGAAAGGATAATCCAAGTTCTTAAATAAATATTAAATAAATAAATTGGTACGCGAGAATTAAATTTTGAATTTACAGTTTTAATTATTCACATGTGAAACTATTGCCCATATTATGTTAATCTGATCATAGAATATATCAAAGAGCATGTGTCCAATTGATACATATGATCAAAAAAAGTTTGATTTTGTTCAAAGACAGTTGATGTCTGTCTTTTATAATTGTATAAACTTGAAATTCTTCATATAATGAAAAAAATCTGTTTGCGTTGCAGATTGAATAGACCATTTACATGTGAGCTGAAGAAATTAAAGTTCTCAATATTCTTTCAATTCAATTTCCATCCTGAAAGGAGTCACTGATTGCCAGTTATTGCATATCACTTTAGTTAATTTATTTATACATCTACTGATAAATCTAGTTAAGGATGGCTTTTTTCATTAACAAGGTCAATTTCTGTTGAAGATTTTTATGACAATGCAGTGCTATAATTGCATCAGCATTCTTCTGTCCCTATTACTACCTTAGAAATAATATACTAAAAGAAGTTCAATGAATTTTTTTCTTGAATTTGTGCAGGGAAGGGTGAGAAAGAAGAAATCCCCAATTCACTATATGATAATTAATTTAATTTTTTCAAAATAATGTTCTAGATAAAAACATTACTTGGTCACAAGTAATGTCTTGGGTTGGATACACTTTAAGAAAATTCACTTTATTCAGATGACAGGGAAAGTCTCCTGGTTCCTGTACAAACTTACCTTTTAGGTCCATTCATATTGTGCTGGAAGTACTTCATTATTTTTTTGTTTGATTGTTTGTGGGGGTTTGTTTTCTTGTTTGTTTGTTTGTTTGTTTCTCTTTTCTAACATCACATTTACTTAGCTGAAAATAATTCAACAATAGCTTTATTTTTCTGGGTGAATTTTGGCAAGTCAAATTGCAGCCCTGTGCAGAACCAGGAGACACACTGAAAAAGTGGGGAGGACAGAGGCCAACTAACTTTGTGAGGTGTTTAAAATAATTATTTCATGTTTTGTAATTTTTTAATCCAAATCCATTATTGTCTGTTGTGGAATCACATTTGTCTTCTTTAATAATATGACATGAACCAACTGGTTCCTAAAGTCAGACTTTTTTGAGTCAAGCTAATAGTATTCTTTGTTTCCTTGAGGGGGGCAGATATCAGCAGTGTTGGTGTGAAGAACACTGTAACCTGAAAGGTGGAACTGAAAAGACTCAGAAGTTACCAATAAAAAGTCCCAGAATATAATTTTAAAAATAAATTTACATATAATGGATATGATATATTTCTTTCATAAATACATAACATCTGCGTGACTCTATAATTAAAAATATAGTTACCCAAAGTTTTAGGATTTCTGATATATAAGAACAATGTTAATTAAATCCTTCCTGAACAGGTTAGGGTCTGTGTTTTCATTATTATTACAAGGGGGTCTTATGTTATCAGGGATTTGTACATTTGATTTGGTTAGCATGTTGAAGGTAAGAAGAAGAATACTGTGGAATGCCGTTCCTTGGTCCTTATGTTCCTCATTCCCATGCCTTGCCTCCCCTGGCTTCCTGCTCATTGCCATCTTTTCTCTCCCTGGCCCATGCTGCTGCCAGACCACAGAGTGGCTCAGAGCTGAAAACACTCTTCATCTTCCTACAGCTCCAAGCTTTGCAGGACACAATCTTTGGAAGAGTGTATTTAACATAACATTTTATCTGGAGATGTTGTTTCCAGAGAAGTTGTTTGTAGTGGGGTGATATATCTACCCAAAAGCCTTTTTAACAGGAGAAAAGCTTGAATGTAATTAGCATTTTTTATCCTTGCAACAGGATTAAGTAATTGATTGTAAAATTGGAAGTGAAGTAACAAACAGAAAACATAAAGTCCAGAAACTAATCTTTCTTTCCTCATCTAGTTTTTTGTACTTCATTCCTTAGCTCTCCCATGATATTTTATATGAAAAACCTTTGAGAAATTAAATTATCCTTCAATTTTTATCCTGTGCTTCTATCTCGTGCATTTCTGGTTACTATTCAGTTAAATAAACAGATATTTCTGATGATATATCAAGATATCTCTATAAAGTGACTCTCTAAAGTTGCTGGTTGCAGCACAGCCATGCTTAACACACTCTCAAATACCAGCTGAAGAGCACCTTTTCCACAGACAGCTCTGGATACCTTGAGCATGATGGGAGCCTGTGGGTTCCGAGGATTGCGGTGTGCAGATTCTGCAGCTCTGCTTTCTCACCTTTTGCCTTAGCAAGTCTGACTTAAGCCATACCAGTCACTCCTTAGGGAAACTGCTCACATCCTGCTCTGATGTTGTTTTACTGAGGCCAAGCAAGATAATAACCCAACAGGTTTGTGGTCCCATGCATTGGTTTTAACTGCTGTGTATAGAAGAGCCCACTATGCCTCGTGTCTGTCACCTAGCAGTGCTGAAGCCAAATGAGTAAGATGTGTCTTAGATATGTCTTGGGAGCTGGATACACCTCCAGTTAGGTACTGCATGGAGGTGTTCTGTTTCAGAACTGAATCCCAGTAGCTCTTTCAATGGAAATACACTGGTATTACTGAGGTCTTCCTCAGAAGTGTGCCCTCACTGCTCCACAGGGGAAGATTTGGAGGTGAACCATCACCATTGACTTTTCAGTACATCATGTGCACCTGGAGCTGCACACATGCCTGTAAGGTAGGTATGACCTCCCAGAACATTCCCTGACACACACACATAACCTCTTTCATTTCCAACTCCAGCTGGAGGACTGCAAGGTGAGAAGGACAGAGATATGGCAGGAGAGCAGGAATTGCCCCAGCTCCTCAGCAATTGATTATCTGCTAAAGAAATCCTGGACTGCCCCAAGCTCCTAGTTCCTTGCTCTCTCTTCACTTTGGGAATGGGAATACCACCCATTCCACTTCTCCAGCATTCACCAACACTTTCATTTTCCAAGTAAGGGACAAACACACCATCCCAAATACATTCTGGAGGATTAACATTTTCTGGCAGTGTCTAGAATGGTCACAAAATGTGGCTACCCCAAGTCTCAGCTGCGTAGGATTCTCCTGGCTTCAACAGCTATCTAAGTGAATCTTGGCATTATTCCAACATTAAAATATTCTTCATCTTTGCAAGGTATGAACTGACCCCCAGAAATGAACGCTGGCTTTCCTCAGGGAAACATAGACCTTTCAAAGGTTATCCAGCAGGACTAAGGCATTAAATCTAAGAGCAGAAAAACATAGTTTTATGTTAGGGAACCATCAGTTTTTTTTCACTTGTTCCAGTTCTCACAGGTTTTTTACAGGCTTTTAAACAACAAATTAATATATTCTTGTAGCTTCTTGATATTAGGCTAAGTACTGTAACATCACATTAATTTATGGTCAGACTTTCCCATCCGTGCCTGAAAGTGATGTTTTCAAGTAAACTCTTTTATATTCACCAACATCTATTTAGTTTTCTGAAAAGTGTCTTTTTCAAACCCAGTTCTTTTCAAATTATTTGATTTTTTTTAGAAATATGAGAAATCAAAACTGAGATTAATTCTAAAACTCATAGACAAAAATCCTCTAGCTAGCCATTAATAATTACACTCTTGAAATAGTCTCACCATAAAGTATATTTAGCAGGACAACATCAAAACCCAGAAAGGTTCTGCCTTTTGGTTTTGTTTTTTTTTTTCATCAAAAATATCTCAATAAGCAACATTAGTTAAAAAACAAATGTGCAGTCACTCTGTTCTCTGTTCCCTAGTCTTGTGTTCAAACAACCTAAAATCATTTAGGGCTGGTGTCCAGGAAAGATTTTCTGAATCAGTGTATCAGAAACAATACCTTCAGAACAATAGAAAGCTCTAGAAGGAAACATGCTACACGTCTCCTTTTCTATACAATAGTTTCTAAAAAAAAAGGGTATATCAGCATATCAAAAATTTACCTGGATAGCCTGAATCATTCAAAGTAATAGTTTACTAATATCAAAGAAAATATGAGATATTCTCTGGCCACTATTAGGCATAAGCTGGTAATCACCATAAAATTCTCTGCCAATGACTGTCAGAATTAATTTGCAAGCCTTCTGCTTTTTCTGATATTGTGTTGCAGAATGTACTGAGCTTTACTTGCAGTATTTTTTTCTATGAGATTTATATATATTTTTTCCTACGAGATTTGTTTCCACCAGATTGGTTTCCATTTTCTCCTGTAGCCAACATGCTAGAAAATCTATCAATAGGTTACTGTTCTGACACCAAAGCATAATTCCAGGGTAACCTACAGTTTGTTTCTTACAAGTTGCCCTCATTGCCAATCCACAAAAGAGATAAATTGCTATATCCTGTGAAATTTAGTAACACATGCACTCAATTTTGGAGTCTTCATTACCTCTGCAGGAGTAGGACACAAAAGTGACCAATCATAGCCACCACCCACTAGACTAGAAAAAGTGAAACAAAATGCTTTCTTCATGCCTCAATTTCTCTTCATTCACCAGTGCATAAATATCCATTCAGAATTATCAGATGCTATTATGATAAGACTACTGTTTGCTGGATGATTTTCCCAGCACAACCTTTGCAATTACAGAATATCTTTGCTGCCAACAAAGCACAGACGTCTTCTGAGCAGAACTTAAATCACAAAATCCCAATGAATCCCAGAGTAAGTATGTATAAATATACAGAGAAGGAAAAGTTTAGAAAGAAAAGTTCAGATACTCTGGTCACTGTTTGACATTCAGCAAGATAAAACCTAGTATCAGTAACCAAAAGCTTAGCATTCAGTATTAATTATTAAGACTTTTTTTGTCAACAACAATTTTGTCAATGATATAGCACACATCTCTGCATGGAAGCCACATGTGTCTAATGTCTTTTCAATTAAATTATTAATGTCAACATGCCATCACATTACCATCATACATTAACACATTGAATTCCTTCATAAAATTTGAACAGAGGTTGTTTGCTACTTACCTAACTGGGTCTCCTGAACTGTTAGCTTACTCTCCAAGGGGTGTAAAAGCTTTGGTGGTTTATCTGTTAGTGGCGCTAGAAAAGAAAGAAATTCACATATGTAGTGTTCTGATTATTATTGGGTAGACTAAGACTTGGTTTTATACCTATTATTTCAAGAAAGCTCTGGTTTTCTTTTGTATTAATAATGTTCATGCCTTCAGTAGCTGTAAAAGTTTTGGCTTAGACAGTAAATGTAGCATCAAAATTAAAGGCCCTTTATTAAGAAAGTAATTTCTTTAAACCCCCACAAAAACAAACAAACAAAAAAAAAACCACCAAAAAAGAAACCAAGCAATAAAACAAAACCAACAAAAAACCCCAAACCAACCAACCAAAAAAAACCCCAAGCAAAAATGCACTGACTTTGCAATTTTCTCTTTTGGTAAATATTATCCATAATTTCAGTTTGCTGTAGTATTTAATTACTTCTATAAGGTATAGTCATTAAAAGATAAATAACATAAGTTACTGTAAAACAATTTAGAATATTTAATGACAATTTTATTTGAAAGATATTCCCAACACTGAAACTTCGTAAAGTGAAGTACTAGATAAATTTTCAAAATCCAAGGAATGAGTACAATGAAATAATGTCAAGATTCCTAATACCATGGCTTCTCTTTTACCTTTTAGTCTACCCTGAAATAATATTAGTAGACTTCATGCAATAATGGAATAGAATGAGTTTTGTAGTGGTAAAAAACCTTCTGAAGGTTGTTGAAATGTGTTCAAACCATGCATGAATATAAATCCTCCTATTCTACTAAATATAACATCTGCTTACTTGATTCACAGAAGTGACATTGATTATTACTACTTTTGTTGTTGTTAGCAAGTGTACTTTTTACTGTGTCTGAGAGATGAGTACATGCCATATGAAACAAAAAGAATATTTTTTTCCCTTTAATTCTGGTAGTAAATATTCATGGGAAATTTCCAACTTTTCTAGTCACCTGCAACATTTTGATATTCTGCTTTTCAACATCAATTCATACTTCAGTTTTTAACACAGATTATGGGCTGTCACAGATTTAAAATACATTTGACATTTTGATATAGCTCTAGAATATTTGTTCCCTTCAACTTGTCAAAATCAATGCTCCTTTTCTTACTGACACACACACATACCCATATGTGTATGGGCTTAATCTACTAAACACACTTGTCTCCTGTCAGTGGAATAGCAGGAGAAGTTTATTTGCATTCTCTTCATTATGTTTCCTGTGGTCTTTTAGTAAATTATCAACATTCTTTAAAAGGTACAGCATTAATTTCAACTTTGCAACAATTACAGAATGGAACTATTATCAACTTGTGTTTCTGCTTTACAGAGATTATCCTTTATATATAAAAGCATAAACCTACTCAGTTGGTATCAGAGGTGTTAACCCATCAGACCTAGCAATGAATCAAAATTCAGGGGAGTGGTAAAACACGTGTACTTGGTCCAAAAACCCTCTCTCAGATCATTCTTCTTACAGCTCCTAGTCTCTATGGGAAATCATTCTGCACTGCAGGCTTTGGAGAGAGCTGAAAGAATTTTGGGATCATCTCTGGCTTGCTACTTTTCTTTACACCAATGCTAATTCTTTTTATCTGTTTTTCTCTCTCTATTTTTTTTTTTTCTTAAAGGCTAAAGTGGGTGGAAGGGAAAAGGATTCAAAATATCTTTTCTTCTTAAACTGTAAAATTAGTCATTCCCATTTCTTAACTTCTCTGTAAAGGCTAATAATTTGTCAGCACATTGCCATTTTTTAAACATCCACTATGAATTTAAATTTAATTTTGCATTTCTGTCATTCTCAACTCAATTATTATTTATCAGATAATGTCTTCTGAGTCACTGTTTTTCTAAATCTGTTTTGAAACTGTGACCAAAGTTCCCTCATTGTAAGTAAAGATATAGTAACTTGTGGAGTTAATATGAATGCAATGAATAAGTTAGATTAAAAACCAGCATTTTTTTCAGTTTAAGCAAAGATCAACATTACTTTTATGATCCTCTATCTCAGGTCTCTACTTTTAAATTAAAAGGCCCAGGATGTGGAGATAACATATCCTTCAACAGAAGTATGAAGTTGTTATAAAATTAATGTCCAGTTTAATTTATGAGATTTAATACATGATTTAAAAATAAAATGCTACTGAAAACAATAAATTAGACACATAACTAATGCATCAGAATCACAGGAGCATGTAGGTGGAAGGATCCTTTGGAAGCTGAGTGACCCAACCTCCTGCTGGAAGCAGGTCCAGTAGAGCAGGTTGTCAGGACCCCCTCCAGTCACATTTTGCGCATCTCTGTGGGTGCAGATTTCACCACTTTGGGTGTTCCAGCTGCCAACCACCCAGTGGCCCTGCACTGGACTTGGTTCACTATATCTGTCTTTTTGAACAGCAAAAAGCTGAAAATTTCTCGGTGTCCCAGGTGTGGCCTCACAGACACTGCAGGACTGGGAAGGATCATCCTCCTGAACATGCTGGCTAAATCTTGCCAAGAGCTGTGCAGTTGGGATTCACCAGCTCATGCTCAATTTATTGTCCACCTGGGCTGACAGGACCATTCATGCAAAGCTTTTTCCTACTCAGTCAGTCCCAGGTTCTGCTCTGCTGCATGGGATTATTCCACTTCTAGACCAAAATGGCTTTTGCCTTTATTAGACTCCATGATTTTCTCCAACTTTTCAAGGCTTCCTGAAGGAGCATGTCTGTTCTCTACTTTGTCACCCATTCCTCCCATTTTACTTAGAGTGCACTCTGTCCCATCCCCCCCCAGGAGTACAAAACCTCCCTAATCAATAGTAAAACAAAGATCCAATAAAAGTTAATTGTGTCATATGCTTATTTTAAAGGGATTGTTACTAACGTTTGTAACCATAAGAGTTTCTATTTACCATTGTATTCCTTTAGATGCCTACCAATCTCACACTTTTGTATGTCTGTCCTATAAGCAATCACATTTCCCAGGGCCAACTCCTTCACCTGTCTAGAAAAGGAAAAATAACCTTGGGTACTCTGCATTCCAGAGCTTTAGACTGTAGGGAACTGCTGTGACTAAGAGTTATATAAGCAAGGAAGAGAATTTTAATAACTATATGTGCTTAAATATCAAATTTTCCAAGGTGATCTGAAACTTTTCCTCAGTCAAACAGGGCTTTTAGTGTCTGTTATTTGATCAAGTTTTATCTAAGTTCTTTCTGGCATATTAATTCCAGTGAACTGATGCAGAGGTGACAATTTCCCTAGCTGCCTCTACACGTCTCAAGTGTACACTCTCCATCATGGAGAGTCAACATTAATGAACAACACAGAGTTACTGCAATCTTCATTTAGTTTCAGGAAACTCTGGAGTAGACCTATGTAGCTCCTATAAACTTTTTCATATCCTTAAAATCATGGGGAATGACTTAACTAAGCCATTGGAGAGTCTGATCAAAATCAATATTATTTTCAGACAGATATATTGAGCCACAGCTATCTACTAAATTGAACAGCAAAAGCATAATTTAATCCTTTCTTTCTAAAATTTTACTAAATAGCAAGAACTCAAGAAAATTTATAAAACTCACAACTACGTCTGGTCTCTTAAATAAGTTAAATAACTTTTATTCTTTTTTTTTTTTTTTTTATAAATAGATGCACAAAGGCAATAATTTTCATGTCCTACAAAAATATCCATGATTTGAAAGCACTTCCTGTTCTGTACTGCATGCAAAGAACAAAAATCCTTTGAATATGTTTAAAAATATAAAGAGAAGATCCTCTTCCCACCAGGTAGTACTTATCAACATGGCTGTCACACAGGAGGAACAGAGTGATCAGGTTCCTATTCTTGCATGAGGGAATTCTCAAGTCTCTTGGCAAGAATCTTAGTTCCTGGATATTATTATCTACTCATGCATGGATTCACTTCTTCCTTCCTCCCTCTTGGCTTTCTCTTTCTCTTTCCTTCTCACTTCTTTTTTTTGCTTTTGTTTTTCAACACCCTCGCATGACTCCTCGCCCCTCCACTGTCCACCCCCACCACTTTAGAATCAAGGAATCATTTTAATCAAAATTGGTATATTCCTCTTTAAAAACAATGGGGATTGATAGGTCAGTGCCTTTTAAAAGAAAGCTGCTTGATCATAAATCAAGTTTACAGCTCATCTTATGTTTGACTTCTGAACCATCATTGATGAATGGTTTGAAAACAAATATGTGTCAAACTTGAAGTAAACTAAAGCTAAAAAATAAAAAGGTGAAGTAACCAATTCTGAAGATTTATTAAAAATTAATATACAACTTCAGAAATACCAGTCAGCTGCAGACATATTGATCCTGCTCAGAGAAAAAGTGGCTAAATTCACATTCTGTGTCTATCAGATCGGATGTACATTTAAAATATATTGAACAATTTTTCTGGCGGTAATGAAAGTGAGAGCCACCACAATCAGTCACCCTGCTGGAAACCAGCCAGAAGATAATATTTTTACATCAGCCACTGACTTCCATGCTCCTCTTCCTACGCTGCTGCTTTAGCTGTAGATGAATGTGGTCACATGATAGGTACACACACTTGCTCTGTGCAGAACACCATCATTCAGGGAGACCAGCCAACTGTTAGATTTTAACACATGCAATGAAGAAATCTTAATTCAACCTGTATATCAAAATAGCACTAATCTGGACATCAAAATGGAGCTGCCTCAAAATACACAAACTTAATAATAGAAAAATTACAATTCCAAAAATCTAGGTTTATGCGTGTTTTATGAAGTGCTCTCAGATTCTCCCTTGAAAATAACTACAAAAGGTTTTAATTTCTTAGAGGAAGACAGGGTTTTGTGGAAATGTCTAAAAATCAGAAAGCCAGTTTATTGTCTGGACATTTCATTCCAGGCAAAAATTCACAGGAATAGTTGCCTAACTTGTCCAGTCTGAGTTATATATATTTTAGAACATTTCAGGTTCAAAAGTTTTATTGAAGTAAAAAGTACATTTTGAGGATGAAAATCCTTCTGATCTTACTGAGATTTGAGATAATGCAATGA